CACAGAGCTCACAATTCTCTTTCTGCTTGTAGAGGTGGACGAGTGCAGCGTCCTTGAAGTTCTAGGGACATTTTCCTAGGCACCACACCCCTTGGAAATGTTGTGAGGTGACTCATGATTTGGGGGCTGTAGCAGGGATCGCGTCCTATCCGGGCAACGTAAAGTCGTCTTTGGTTTATGCGCCACCCGAATTTGGTGCTTCCTTAAGAGCCTGTCGATGATTGTATACATTTTTGAGGTAAGGAAAGGTACGCCAAGTATATAGCTTGGGCGTCTGATTGGTACTGCCTGAACCCTTTTTCTGTGACTCTTGATGTCTCACACACCGACGTACGAAGTCTCGAGGATAACAATTTTAAGAAAATAATTCGAACACTTATTTAAGTGCGATCTGATAGCCTTCTCTGTCTGAACATTGCGTTTTTGCTCGATTTAACAGGCTGTTAAAAGCACTCCTTTTATGAGAGATAATATGGTATCTCTCATTGTTTAGGATGACTTCCGTATACGTTTCCTCTTCTATAAACAATCGTGCGTAGTGTTTGATCGTGCTCTGGTTGTACAAGGAAATCGAGAAATGGGAGTTTGGCATCGGCCTTCTTTTCGAGCGTGTGTTCAACCCCAGAAAGGGTGGCGTTGAGTACGTTGTTTAAGGTTTCCAGTTGATCCTTTCTTACGATAACGAAAGTATCATCGAGGTATCGTAGCCACAACTTAGGATTGACTGGTAGAAGAGCTGTCGCCCCGAGTCTCTGCGTTGTTATTTTAGCAAGAAAGTTCGATATAGGTGACCTTGTTATAAGACTACAACCCCATAGTAATTCCTTTCAACCGCTGATAGTATTTGTTATCAACTAAAAAGTTGGCCTGTAAGCACAAGTTCAAAAGTTCAAGCAAAACAGCTGCATGAGCACCCGTCGTGTAGGTCTGTAGGAGTTCTTCTGTGTACTGCCCTCCTACGTCAATGGAGACCACTATTTCGTCAGCTGAAATTGTGATTTAGGATTGAAAAATGTGGCAAGATCTCCTGACATTTGTCTCGATTTACTATCACGCTTCAACAGGTTGTCAATGGATGAAGTTTAAATCTTGGCAGGGTCCTTGAGAAGAGCTTTGTAGGTTGACACATCTCCTAACATCGACATCATCTTTTGATTATAGTCGGTTTTGTTCAAAATAGCAGTCGAGCCTTCTTTGTCTGCAGCGACGACGACGATAGTTTTGTCGGATTTGAGGAACTTTAAAACATCCCTTTATTCGTGTGATTCTATTGAAAGCTGATTTCGATCCTTCAGAGCTTTCACGGCATTGGACAGGTGTTGATGTGACGGAATATAAGCTTGCAAGGAAACTCAGACGATTATAATCAGAACCTTTTACTTCAGTCCTCTTGAAAGCACATTCTGCTGTTGTAAAGATCCTCGATGACAGATTTACGACCCTTGTTGAAGTCTTCTGGTTT